TTTTTCCAGGTTTTTGACTTCATTATCCAAGCAGAGCTCACCTTGAAAGTTGCACTCTTCCAGAGTTGACCAAAAGAGATCATACTAAAGTGATGGTTAATTTCAAAACCGGAGAAGATCTAAAAGCATCATTCGAAAACAATAATTTTCTCTCAACAAAAGCAAGTTTGATAGCAAAATTTTCTTGAACAAATTCCATTTTTATACAGAGTTATCGGATTAAATTGAATTTTGTTTTGTCTCCCAAATTCACAGGAGAAAGCTGTTCTTGAAAATTTGTCGAAACAGTTGACTACATTTGCCTATTCTACATGGCATGTTTACCTGTAAATCAAACGAAGTTTTTGCTAAAACGTTTCAAGTCATTTTATTCTCCTTTTGATCCCAGAGTTGCTTTTTTTTTTGAATTTTCTAAAACTGAATGAATTAAGCAAAACTTATATTAGAATCTATTCATCTAAAAGTTAACAGGAAAGACTGTTTATTTTGAAAATAAAAGAATACATACGGGTATCTAAGCTAGGATTTGAACATTTTTTTTAGTTTATCACTCCATGCTACAACCGTATCTTTCTCTGAATGGTCATCCTTTGTTTCTGTAACCGTATGAGTATAAGTAGCATTCTGTTTTGAGTCTTCTTTAGCTACAGGCGGCATGAGCAGTCCCATTATATTTGAAACGGCGTCTGTTTGGTTAGTTCCATCTTTAAAATTTAAAACCCCCTCCTGGGTAAGCATTTTGACCAGTAAAAATAATTTTGAACGAATTTCACTATCAGCTAACATTGCTATACCTAAAATAATGAGAAAAACAAGCAAGTTAAGTGGTATAGTAGCAGAAAAGTGTAATAGCTTGTGTTTGTAGGAAGCCAATATTCAAAAAAAAACCGTCATTAATCATCTATTTTTGAAGAAAATCTTGCAGGATAGGAAAACTTTTTGACTATCTGTCAAGGTTTTCCGGAAGTTTCTATGAAAAGAATCTTCACTTTCTATCTATAAAAAACAAATTTAATCCCTAAAATACTTTTTCTCAATCGATTAACAACGGTGTAATACAAAATCTAGTTTTATTCTGTACCATGGGAACATACCCATGAAAAAATGACAAGATTTCTTCTAGTACATTTCAAGGAAAGAATGCTGTTTCCAGAATAGCTGATAGCAAAATGATAGTGCTCAATATAATAAGTTTTGCTAATTTTTCGATCTTAAAACCGTTTTCAATTGAAACAACCACCATATTCGGAATTAGCTCCTCAAATGACATCGAACGATGTGTACGACAAATTTTCTAAGAGACCATACAACTATTCGAGAAATTATCTTTTCAATTTCTTAAATTTTTTTTGAAAAGACGATTGTACGAGTGATTGAAAGCCACTGTTAAACAAAAACACAAGTTGAATGTGCAAACAAATTTTCGTGTCAGCTTGGAAAGCTAGAACTACTCACAGTGCGGAAAGACTGATTGTTTACTCAAAATAAGGCGGAGATACAATTGGAATGCCCTTCCACTTCCCAAGTCTTCTCTCTAGATAAATCACTGCTCGAGACTGGCATTCTCGAGTCTAAAAATCGGAACAAATACGCAAAGATTTCTTCACAAAGTTGCAGAAGTGGAAAACTAGACAGTATACAAAAAAGCAAGATAATCCAGCCTCATGATCAGTCCCAAAAAATTCTTTTGTAGAAGACCTTAAGAAAAAGTTGTTTTGGCTGATGGGCTTCATCCTTGAAACAAACATCAGGTATGACTTACTTGGTTGTTTAGTTGGATTCGACAAATCAATATATCCTTTCTTAGCCAAAGTCGTAACGAAGTCTTGTACAGCCATGAGAATTTTGGGATTTTTTTTTATTGCTTCAACTAGAGCCATTGTTTTGGGGTTTTTCGAAATTTGTTCCATCATTTGTTCAATATTTGGCATCCCACAGCTATAATGAACATTGGTTAGGGAAAATAATCGGACAGGAACTGAAAGTGTGTCTGTTTTTCGTACGATACGACTGAAACTAACATGCCGAAGTGATGTGCTAATAAGAAATAGACGACGTGTGATCGAACCAAGCATATTTTACTGAAGATTTTTCGACAAACTAGACTAATTTATGAAAAAAATTTCAAACAGCAACAAGGAAATAAAAGGAAACATATTTTAAATGTGGTGATTCATACTCTGCCATTGTGACGTTACGATTGGCGATAACATAACCTATACAAAAACCAAACAGGCGGTGGAGGTTATCAGAAATTGATTCAAAATAATTATGATATTGTGCTGGTTATTATATTCACAACAATACATCTCTTGCTACTTACATAAAAACATTGTGACACAATTAAAAAACGAACAGAGGGCGCCGGCCACTGATAATTGATACACTAGTGACTGAATATATAATTCTTGTTATGTTTCGAAATACTCGCAAACACGCGTATCAAATAGGCAGTAAGAGCCACAAGTATGCAAGTACATTAACCCGTTCATTTCATCGACTATGGTGAACCTTTTAGCAACATTTGTTTTTCAAAGCAGTTCCAGAAACCTAGTGAAAACGTATATTAGGTGAAGTAATCCATTTTTGCCTACTTTTGAATAAAATTAAAAAATTCATCCAAATTATGTCAGAATATCAAAGATGTACTCTCTTTTACGTGCTCATCACTATGCAGTTCAATAAAAGTTTTAAAAAGCAACAGAAATACGCTCCTTTTCGCAGGTTTTCTAGAACTTTAACTTTCAGTGGCTGATTTCATAGCGTTTTAACCATGATCCTTGGTAAACGGACGTAACTTTTTTCTTACCATACTTTACGACACTGATAAATTATCGCGTTATTGTCAGTATGAGGCTAAAAAGACGTCCTTATAGCAAAAAATTTAGCACGAAAAGTTAAATGGTTGCGGAAAAACTCGATTTTCTCAAAACGAGCGATTT